GTGTGATGGTCAATCTACTACGGGCTTCTGTGCTTTTCGAGGGGCTCATCTTATCTCTTGGAAGAGCAAGAAGCAGCCAGTTGTCTCCCGCTCGTCAGCAGAGGTAGAGTATCGGGCACTGGCACTTGGCAGATGTGAAATTATCTGGTTACGATCGATTCTTGACGAGTTGGGATTTCCAATGACTTTTCTATCCACATTATATTGTGATAATCGGTCTGCTATTTAGCTTGCTTCTGACTCTGTACTACACGAGAGGATGAAGCATATAGAGATCGATGTTCACTTTCTTCGGGAGAAGGTTAACNTTATCTGATTCATGTTATTTGCAGGACCTGAGTACCAGGAGGATTATTATCAGGGGATATGAGAGAGATGGATTGTATTATTTAGGCAATCCACCTTTTATTTCACCAGTTTCTCCACCTCCACCTCCATCACCTATTTTGTCTTTATCTGTTCTTAGCTTACATACTAGTATTTTACCTAATACTTGTCATTATGATTTTTCATTACAAACTGTTCAGTTGTGGCATGACCATTTTAGACATACAAATTTTAAATATTTATGTATGTTATTTCCTGCTTTGAGCAAAGCTTGTGTTAGTAGTAAACTTGACTGTGTTATATGTTCCCTATCAAAACATGTTCGGACCAGTTGTATTCCTCGCATGCACCAGTCACCCAAACCATTTGACCTAATACACTTGGATATTTGGGGACCTTCTCCTGTTACTGCTCTGTCAGGTGCCCGATACTATGTGACATTTATAGATGACCATACCCATTGTACTTGGGTCTACCTTTTGTATAGGAAGTCTGATGTACTCTCTGTCATCACTCAGTTTCTCCAGATGATTAAGACACAATTCGATGTCATTGTTCATGCTCTTCGTTCGGATAATGCCATAGTGTCTCACCTTTCTTCACAGGGTATCCTTCAGTAGCTCACTTGTCCATATACTCCTGAGCAAAATGGAGTTGATGAAAGAAAAAATAGGAGTCTGATAAGGATGGTACGTTGTATGCTTCGAGGTATGGGGGTACCAAAATCTTACTGGCATTTTGCTGTTTAGACTTCTACCTTTCTGTGCAATCGTACACCGAGTTGAATTCTTCAGCATAGGGCTCCCTTACAGGTTTTATTCCCTGAGTGGACACTTTTTTCTGTCCCCCCTCGTGTTTTTGGCTGCACATATTTTGTTCAGGATCGGTCTCCTACTCGCCATAAGCTTGATGATACAGCGATTCGTTGTATCTTTGTGGGCTATTGTCATCAGTTTAAGGGGTATCGGTGTTATGATCTTATCAGGCGTCGTATGTATCAGTCTAGATATTACCTTTCTTGAGCATATTCCCTTATTTTTCTTCCAATCTTGTGTCTTTCCCCCAGTTGATGATACTCCCTTTGATTTTTCATTACCACAAGAGCCAGAGCCATTGATCCCTATCACTATAGAGTCATCAGTCTCTTCTCCTCCAAAGCCAGAGTCACTAGTTTCTCTTCCTTTGCAGGTTTATGATCGTCGTCCTCGCTCTCATCCCCCTGCTGATATCCCCTCTACCTCAGGCGATGTAGGTAATACTTTTGAGTTCGTTGAGCATATTGATGTCCCTGTTGTTAGTACTGATGAGATTGCAGGTACTGAGCCAGTTACATTACCTGATGAGACATTGTTAGTGGAGGATAATGATTTAGGGCGTCATTATCCGTGGCGTAATCGCTGTCCAGTTGATCGTTATGGTTGGACCGCCAAGATTTTATATCCGATCTCTGCTTATATTTCTTATGATGATTTGTCTCCTATATTTTGAGCTTATAGTATGGCCTTATCAGATACGCCGGTTCCTCGCTGTGTTTCAGAGGCTATGCGAGAGCCCCAGTGGGTTCTTGCCATGCAGACGGAGATGGACCCTCTTCAGCGTAATCATACATGAGATCTTGTCTCTTTACCTTCAGGGGTGAAGCCTGTTGGTTGTCGCTAGGTTTACACCTTGAAGTTTCTTGCGGATGGTACTATTGATCATCACAAGGCTAGACTTGTGGCGAAGGGCTTTACTCAGGTACCAGGTCGTGATTTTGGTGCTACATTTGCCTCTGTGGCAAAATTGACTACTGTTCGGTTAATTATTTCTCTAGCTGCAGAGTACTTTTGTCCTCTTCATTAGTTAGATGTGAAGAATGCGTTTCTTCACGATGATTTGGACGAGATTATTTATATGGATGCACCACCGGGCTTTCATGGTGAGGGGGAGTATGCTGGAAGATATGTCAACTGCATAAGTCTCTTTATGGACTGAAACAGTCACCACGAGCCTGATTCTTTCGATTTAGTGATGTAGTTATATGTTTGGGGTTCACCAGATGTCATTCTAATCATACCTGTTTTATTCGGCGGAATACTTCTAGACAGTGTGTTATCCTTTTGGTATATGTTGCTGATATTATTATTACCGGGGATGATGTTTCTGGGACTGCGCAGGTCAAGGTAGACCTTGGGAAGGCCTTCGATGTGACTGACCTTGAATTTCTACGATACTTTCTTGGGATTGAGGTTGTCCGTAGCAGCAGGGGTGTTGTTCTTTCTCAAAGAAAGTATGTTTTGGATCTTCTTTCAGATACTGGGATGCTGGGGTGCAAACCGGCATCATCACCCATGATTCCAAACCTGAAGCTTACTATTGAAGGTGAAGAGTTGAANGCTGTCCAGTTGATCGTTATGGTTGGACCGCCAAGATTTTATATCCGATCTCTGCTTATATTTCTTATGATGATTTGTCTCCTATATTTTGAGCTTATAGTATGGCCTTATCAGATACGCCGGTTCCTCGCTGTGTTTCAGAGGCTATGCGAGAGCCCCAGTGGGTTCTTGCCATGCAGACGGAGATGGACCCTCTTCAGCGTAATCATACATGAGATCTTGTCTCTTTACCTTCAGGGGTGAAGCCTGTTGGTTGTCGCTAGGTTTACACCTTGAAGTTTCTTGCGGATGGTACTATTGATCATCACAAGGCTAGACTTGTGGCGAAGGGCTTTACTCAGGTACCAGGTCGTGATTTTGGTGCTACATTTGCCTCTGTGGCAAAATTGACTACTGTTCGGTTAATTATTTCTCTAGCTGCAGAGTACTTTTGTCCTCTTCATTAGTTAGATGTGAAGAATGCGTTTCTTCACGATGATTTGGACGAGATTATTTATATGGATGCACCACCGGGCTTTCATGGTGAGGGGGAGTATGCTGGAAGATATGTCAACTGCATAAGTCTCTTTATGGACTGAAACAGTCACCACGAGCCTGATTCTTTCGATTTAGTGATGTAGTTATATGTTTGGGGTTCACCAGATGTCATTCTAATCATACCTGTTTTATTCGGCGGAATACTTCTAGACAGTGTGTTATCCTTTTGGTATATGTTGCTGATATTATTATTACCGGGGATGATGTTTCTGGGACTGCGCAGGTCAAGGTAGACCTTGGGAAGGCCTTCGATGTGACTGACCTTGAATTTCTACGATACTTTCTTGGGATTGAGGTTGTCCGTAGCAGCAGGGGTGTTGTTCTTTCTCAAAGAAAGTATGTTTTGGATCTTCTTTCAGATACTGGGATGCTGGGGTGCAAACCGGCATCATCACCCATGATTCCAAACCTGAAGCTTACTATTGAAGGTGAAGAGTTGAAAGATCCGGCTGTCTATCAGAGGTTGGTAGGTAGACTTATCTATCTAGCCAACACAAGGCCAGACATTTCATTCGCAGTCAGTCGAGTTAGTCAGTTTATGCACAAACCGTGTCAGTCTCATCTTGATGCAATTTATCATATTCTTCGGTACCTCAAGTCTTGTCCTGGACTTGGGTTGTTCTATGCATCAGGATCTCAGACTGGTTCTCTAGCTTGTTATTCAGATTCAGATTATGGGGGAGCGTGTGATGGTCAATCTACTACGGGCTTCTGTGCTTTTCGAGGGGCTCATCTTATCTCTTGGAAGAGCAAGAAGCAGCCAGTTGTCTCCCGCTCGTCAGCAGAGGTAGAGTATCGGGCACTGGCACTTGGCAGATGTGAAATTATCTGGTTACGATCGATTCTTGACGAGTTGGGATTTCCAATGACTTTTCTATCCACATTATATTGTGATAATCGGTCTGCTATTTAGCTTGCTTCTGACTCTGTACTACACGAGAGGATGAAGCATATAGAGATCGATGTTCACTTTCTTCGGGAGAAGGTTAACTGTGGTATTATCACTCCATTGTTTGTGGGGACTAGTGATCAGGTTGCGGATGTTTTCACCAAACCTGTCACTCTATCCATTCTTCAGGACTCTGTTGTCAAGCTTGTCTTAGTTGATATTTTTGCGCCTAACTTGAGGGAGAGTGTTGGAGTTATAGCATAAGTTATTAGGGTTTTCCTTTTTTACCTTAGTTTGTATACGGGGGCTCTACACTTAGTTTGTATCCCTTTTTCACTCACGTTTATTTCAAGTATTACTAATTATTTTTTATTGTTAATTATATAACCAGTTGAACCTCACCAAATGGGTTTTCAAGGGAACCCAACAAGCTCATGGTTCACAAATGGGCAAACCACTATCCAACCTAGAACCAACTTTATATAAGATTTTTGGAGGTTTTCTACGGTCCACCAACTGACCTAAACTAAGTCCATGCAAGGCACTTAACTAGAGTTTGGTGAAGGTTTCTTGAAGCTCCTATAAGTTAACCTACCTTTCTCAATAAGCAACACTTAAGAGAACAAAAGAAAGGAAAAAGCACGGATAGAATTAGCAGAAGTCTAGGATACCATTCCATTTGCACAAGTAATAAGAGGCTCCATGTTAATAACTCAATCAATTCTTATAAAATATATTATGTTATCTTTATTGATAATGGCTAAACATATGGGTCGTATGTTAAGCTCAATGCAGATTTATAAACCTCCCACTGGAACTAAGCCTCCCTACTTCATAAGAGTCTGCCAAATGAGTGGTAACCTATTGAGCATATGAAGGATACGGGTTCAGATAATATTACCTCCGGAATCAAAGAAAGCCAAGCTTTAGAATCTTCAAACTTCTGCTTGAACTCTCTAATGGATGAAAGGGTAAAATGGAAAATCCCATTCTTTATCAATCCGAAAGTTTATGTAAGTGATGTTTTAGAGAAACCCTTTAGCCATCAATTGCATCTGAAGAAGATGTGCGAGTATTTATTGGGTTGAGGCTAATGGTTATTTGTAACGGCTAGACTCTTGAAATCCAAGCCTCATAGACGACTGGAAAGGCTCCAGGGTCAGTCGACTGGGAAACTCTCAGTTGATTGTATGATCCAAGGTGCAATCCCTATGAGTCAGAATCTTCAACCTCGATGCAGCCTGCCTTGTAAAGCCCGGTAGACTTCTTGAAGCTCAGGGAATCATCCAATCCCCTGAGGCTTGTACATGCTTCTTTAATTGGATTGGATGTCTTCATCAAAGGACCAAGTTATTGTACAAGCCATGAAATTGCCAACCTAATAGACTAGGCGTATCAGCTATGATGCTCTTTTTGAGAAGTATGCAATTGAAACTACCGGTCTTCATGCCATAATCGTCAATCAATTTTTAGTGATGCGTGCACGCTTCATATGAGGTACTTACTTAAATTTGAGGTGGATTGGTTTATCTGGAAAACTGCTCATTATTGTTTACTATCCACAAAGTGTCTATGCTTGTGTTTAGTGTTATCTTTATGAAGTATCACATTGCTTACATTGAATCATCCTTCCATCTTTTAGTTGTATGTTTGTAATGCTTCAAGTTCTTCGCATTGTGTGGGTGTTTTTTAATCTTTGAATGATATCAGGCTGGTTCGGGTGAATGCAGCTGCGGTGGGAAAATGGTGAAAGGATTATGTGTTAAACCCATTAAAGGAGATGCAGTGCTTTTCTGGAGCATGGTTGGTTTCCTGGGTTCATTCTTGTTGATTCGTTCTAAGTAACAAGTGATACCCTGATTGGATGAGTTTAGATGTCCACTGATTTAATTAGCTTTTTTCGGTTGTGTTAGTTTTATAATTCCCCGACAACAACAAAAAAACCCAATATTGATAACTACAGATTTACAGACTCTCCTACTTATTTTCTTTGCTTTCAGCAAGTTCATTCCCATTATGTTCCTGTGCAGGTCTTCACAGTTAATGATATAATGCTTGCATGCTTGTGTGCAATAGTATTGAAATTAAGATGAACCTCAATTTTTCTTCTATTTGAAAAAAATAAACTGCATTGGGAGTAATGTATACTCAAAATAAAACCATCCTTATAAAAATTTGACGTCTACTTAAACTCTTGACTATTATTTGTCGGCCATGTAAACATAACTATTTGTCTCCATTGTTTTGTAAGTGGTCTCCAAACTTCCAATGCCATTCAACCACGACATCTTCCGATACATTTGATGCTTGTTTGCCCCACTTCTGAACTTTGTTGTCTTTGTGTTTTCAGGGGCTCGATGGACAATCTGACCCAAACAGCTTACATGGAGGGTGTGAAGTACTGTCAGGGGAGAAGTGGTCAGCTACAAAATGGATGAGGCAGAAAACTACTTTCTGATCTTAAGATCTTTGAAGTATACGTACACATTGTATGATTTTTCTTGACAGAAGAGCTTATTTCAAAGCTGGCTCATGTAAACTTGCTAATAGATGAAGTAATAGATTTAGCGTAACAATTTTTAACTAATATAGTTTGAATACTTACTGAAAAATGATATAGTTGGAATTACATTTAGATCTTGGGGGAGGGTTGCTTTATCAAGCTCCGATACTGAACCCTATTGTAATAGGCCGAGCTCGAGTTGAGCTCAATTGTCGAGTTTGAAATTTTGAAATTATAATGGTATTTATGAAATTGTCAAATCTACGCAATCGACCTACTAATAGGTCAATCGGCTATACAACCCATTCATTATTCAGCAACCAAACCAACTAATCACTGACCGATATGTTTCAATATACTTGACACGATTCCAAGCATGATGTTTTCATAAATGTTGTAGTTGCTTAGTCAAGTACACACACACATATAAACACACCGCTTTGCCAAACACCCCTTCTCCCAATACCCAGTTGCCGTCAACAAACCTCTCTAACTGTAGAGGTTCTAACTATTTGTTGTGAGCAACAAATTTAAAAGAAGTCCCATTAGGAAAATTGAGGATTTAAAGAATACTCACCTAATAAATCAGCAGTCGAATAATAAAGATGATATAGTATAATACTATCATTTGAACAATAATTAGCTGATATTTGTTCAACATACAACTCACTCAAGTCTAGTGCACCCTAGATGGCTAGCCCAGCCCATCAATTAGTCTTCTAGATTGATTTGCTCGACTCGACGATCACTGGGCATCTAATCAAATTCCAAAATTTTTCCACCAGGCCCATTGAAAATGTTCCTAATCCAAAAATACAGTGTCTAAAACCCCAGGCATTGCTAGTTGGTGTCTTGAAGTCTGACCTGCACTAATGCACTTGCTTAGAAGATCTTATTCTTCTCTGTCTCTCTTGCCGCTGCAGTGTGAAGTCTTCAATCTCAGGCTCATATCGGGTTTGCTAAGTGATATTTCTCCTGAATCTCATGTCTGAGCACTAGCACTAGCACAAGTCATGAAATATGTCATGTGAAAGCCTATACCAAATAATCTATCTTTTTGGCAGTTTCATTGCAAAATTCAAATATAATGGCTATGTATACCCCAAAATACAAGAAAATATTCGTTGTAATGGTTAAATCATATCAGAATTACTATATGATGTCACCCGTCCAATGATATGCCAACAAATAGGCAAAGTGAACCTAGCATCTTTTAGCAATGACTCATGTAAAGCAGTAAGTGTAGACATTAAAAAATTATTAAATAAAATAATGTCTATTATTCGACTCAAATCTAAAAAGTTTTTGCACTTAATTGTTATGAACTTAAATTCCTTAAGCCCAAATTTAATTAAATAGACTTCTAAATTATATATGATTTGACCTAAATTTTATAAGTCCAAAGAACAAATTAAGCTGTTATCGATTGAAATTCCATAAGACAAAATTAAAAAGACTTTTAAAGATAAATTGAGTTGGAGCTAAATTCCATAAGTTGAAGTAATATAAATTCATTAAAGCCCATAAATTTAAATGAATATGGGTGGCACAAGGGTATATTGTTGTAGGATAACTATTCCCAACACTACAAATAATACGAGGGAGGCCAAACAGGAGAAAGCCAAGAAGGAGGCCGAGGAGAAGAAAGCCAAGAGGAGGCCATGGAGGAGGGAAGATTAAGAAAGTTCTACCCTAGTCCATATCAGAAGAAGAAGGGAAGATTAGAAGCAAAGTCTGTTGAAGTCTCCTTCCGGCTGAAATCTTGCAAGTTCATCTCTGAGGAGAATAATAGATCAGCAAGGTCCTTCTTCAAAAGATTAAAATCATCTTCAAATAAAAATAAAACAATGNGAAGTCTCCTTCCGGCTGAAATCTTGCAAGTTCATCTCTGAGGAGAATAATAGATCAATAAGGTCCTTCTTCAAAAGATTAAAATCATCTTCAAATAAAAATAAACAATAAAAATATCCAACAAAGTCATTATCAAATCAAAGAATGATAACAACGTTAATTCGACCCTCATTTTCAACAAATCTACTAAATTAAAGATAGAAGAACCAGAACTACTTCAATTCAACTCTCGTTTTCAACAAATCCATCCAAGTCATCATCAATTTAAAAGAGTCAATAATAAATTGAAAGTTAAATAGGAGTAAAAAAATACAAATTAGACGAAAGTATATAATCAAATATAGTCGACTTTATCATAATGATTAGGGATAAAATAAGAACATAAAAGTTTTTTACAAATGTTGATATGTATAAATAGTATAGATATATTTAATCCTATTATATTTTTACTATCAAAATATTATTCCNAAGAGTCAATAATAAATTGAAAGTTAAATAGGAGTAAAAAAATACAAATTAGACGAAAGTATATAATCAAATATAGTCGACTTTATCATAATGATTAGGGATAAAATAAGAACATAAAAGTTTTTTACAAATGTTGCTATGTATAAATAGTATAGATATATTTAATCCTATTATATTTTTACTATCAAAATATTATTCTAGTGAATAAAGATGTATCATCTTATTTTTGTTGTTGGAAAAAAATAATGAAAACTTATTTAAGTGTTCACCCAAGATTGATTTCCAAAATCCGGATACCAGGGTCATGCCAAACTATCTAGGTAGGAACTGGCAGTAATCCCCTATTGTGCACCTAGTCCTACACCCACTAGCCCCAACCTCTACCCCACCGGCTCCCATCTCTCCTTTGCTCTAAAATTCTCCCCCTCCTCTAGAGTTGCATTAACTAAGGAGGAGTTGCATTAAACATGCTTTAGATGGGGTGTTTCATTAACTAACGAGGAGTTGTCGGAATCAAGGGGGCACCATATCTCAAAGTGACAGATATTTTTCTATCTTGTTCTTAAATGCAACTAATTTCATAGAGAATGTAAAGACAAAAATGTCATACGATTGTACTTGTTCTATTAATGAATGAAAGAAAATAATAGGATTAATTATATTTAAACCCTTTAAACTTTANGATTGATTTCCAAAATCCGGATACCAGGGTCATGCCAAACTATCTAGGTAGGAACTGCCAGTAATCCCCTATTGTGCACCTAGTCCTACACCCACTAGCCCCAACCTCTACCCCACCGGCTCCCATCTCTCCTTTGCTCTAAAATTCTCCCCCTCCTCTAGAGTTGCATTAACTAAGGAGGAGTTGCATTAAACATGCTTTAGATGGGGTGTTTCATTAACTAACGAGGAGTTGTCGGAATCAAGGGGGCACCATATCTCAAAGTGACAGATATTTTTCTATCTTGTTCTTAAATGCAACTAATTTCATAGAGAATGTAAAGACAAAAATGTCATACGATTGTACTTGTTCTATTAATGAATGAAAGAAAATAATAGGATTAATTATATTTAAACCCTTTAAACTTTATCACTAAAACACATTGACCCCTCAGGTATGATAATTTACACCGACACACCTTCTCTATATCGGTTTCTAAATAGAAGTAACAAGAACAATAAAAAGACCAATTACCCCTTACCAATTGCCCAAAACTTAATCCAGCCACTGAACAATTTCAAACCATATGTCAAACAACCCAGAAATAATTCATGCCTTCTCTTTCCTTCATCTTGTTCAAAAGCAACCGTCCCACCTCTTGTTGACCATCATGGGGTTATTATTTCAGCCGAATTTGACACAGTTTAATTAGTTGTATTTGTTTTAACACTTTTTATTTTGATATTATTTCATCGGTAGACTCGAGATTGTCTCGAAGATATCTCTGGATTGAATAAACTCAATACAAAAAATAATGTATTACTTTAAATTTGATTGCAATGGATTCCAAAACTGGTAATGAGACATTCCAAATCCATATTCCTTTGCAAAAAAGGCAACTTCATTCTAGAAAATAAGAAAAATAGCAGAGAGACCCTGCTGTGAATTTTAAGCGAAAGCTTTCATGTATACAATAAACAGAGAGTAGGTGGCTACTTTTAGAGAGAGAAAGTAGAGAGAAGAAGACTTCATTTATGATTTAACTCTCTCTCTCTCTCTCTCTCTCTCTCTCTCTCTGCCTGCGCATATTCTTCGCATCTTGTTATAACACAACTCAATTCTCGTGTCTTTTTTAAAAGCACAAAACGAACTAAAAACTTCGACTGCGTCTTAATTACGCTCTCTACAGTTACGCTGTCTACAGTTCTTACAGTTACTACCTTCGGCATTTGAATTTCTGTGGCCGGGGCCTCCAGATCCAACCGGAAATTCTCCGCCGGCGACCCTTTTTGTGTTCTTTCATTAAACGACCACATGCTCATCAGGCAGTTCATCTAGTTAAGGTCGGTGATCAATTTCCGATGTAATAAAGCTCCATTTGTTTCTAAATTTGCAAGATCTGGTCTTTGTAGCTCAATTTAATTTTGTTTATTGTGTTTACTCTGTCAGAGATTTCATTTTTTGATTCAATATGCTAATACAAATTGAATGCATTGGCATATACTGTTGTACTATATTTGAAAACGCCAAGATCCGGTACAACTTCCTTTCAATTCTGTTTGAGTTTGAACCCATTCACGTAATATAGATTTATATATACACACACACTCACTCAGACCGACCCCATGTAGGTCTTTATTTTCTGTACAAAGTCGGATTGCCAGTTCAACAACTGCTGCTGTTTTTGTTAATTCTTTAAAATCTCATTATTTTTGTGTGATACNAAAATATCCAACAAAGTCATTATCAAATCAAAGAATGATAACAACGTTAATTCGACCCTCATTTTCAACAAATCTACTAAATTAAAGATAGAAGAACCAGAACTACTTCAATTCAACTCTCGTTTTCAACAAATCCATCCAAGTCATCATCAATTTAAAAGAGTCAATAATAAATTGAAAGTTAAATAGGAGTAAAAAAATACAAATTAGACGAAAGTATATAATCAAATATAGTCGACTTTATCATAATGATTAGGGATAAAATAAGAACATAAAAGTTTTTTACAAATGTTGATATGTATAAATAGTATAGATATATTTAATCCTATTATATTTTTACTATCAAAATATTATTCCAGTGAATAAAGATGTATCATCTTATTTTTGTTGTTGGAAAAAAATAATGAAAACTTATTTAAGTGTTCACCCAAGATTGATTTCCAAAATCCGGATACCAGGGTCATGCCAAACTATCTAGGTAGGAACTGGCAGTAATCCCCTATTGTGCACCTAGTCCTACACCCACTAGCCCCAACCTCTACCCCACCGGCTCCCATCTCTCCTTTGCTCTAAAATTCTCCCCCTCCTCTAGAGTTGCATTAACTAAGGAGGAGTTGCATTAAACATGCTTTAGATGGGGTGTTTCATTAACTAACGAGGAGTTGTCGGAATCAAGGGGGCACCATATCTCAAAGTGACAGATATTTTTCTATCTTGTTCTTAAATGCAACTAATTTCATAGAGAATGTAAAGACAAAAATGTCACACGATTGTACTTGTTCTATTAATGAATGAAAGAAAATAATAGGATTAATTATATTTAAACCCTTTAAACTTTGTCACTAAAACACATTGACCCCTCAGGTATGATAATTTACACCGACACACCTTCTCTATATCGGTTTCTAAATAGAAGTAACAAGAACAATAAAAAGACCAATTACCCCTTACCAATTGCCCAAAACTTAATCCAGCCACTGAACAATTTCAAACCATATGCCAAACAACCCAGAAATAATTCATGCCTTCTCATTCCTTCATCTTGTTCAAAAGCAACCGTCCCACCTCTTGTTGACCACCATGCTTAGCCTTCTCTCTCTCTCTCTCTCTCTCTCTCTCTCTCTCTCTCATACACACAAAAACACAAAAGTCGCAAAGCACCTATGCACACCCGTTACCCCCTAATCAATCCAAACCATTGATGACCTTCTTCCTCTGCCCAGCCACCACACCTTATCTTCGCCAACTTTCATAACCCCGTTGGACCACCACTCCCTAAAGAAATATCATCACAACAGCCCTTCTCTCTCTTATGCTTTTCACCACGACCCTTTCACCAATTAACCTCAATCTCACTACAAGTATCACCCCCCAAACCAAAAGGGCCACAATTCTGTCAATTGTTGGATGGAGAATCAAAATCGCAGCCAAGCCAACTGACTAGAGAAAAAAATTAATGACATTTATATGGATGAACCTCATGAAGAGAAATTAGTGATGGGGAAAGGGGTTAGTGGGTGCAATTGATGTGGTCTGAGGGAATTGGCTTCGACAAAGGTAGATTGGTGGTGGTGTGGCGGTGACTGGTAGATTCTCGTGCTTGTGATGATTGTGATGATGGGCGCATTGCAGTGGCAGAGATTGTGTTCGTGGTCATTTGTGGACGAGTGTCTATGTGAGACGGTAGTGGTGGATGACATTGTATGTGCGTAATGGATGGTGTGACGGTCATGGTCGCGATAGAGGGGTGGTGGAGGTGGAGAAGCGTAGGGGCGAAAAATGGCAGATAAAACTCAAAAAAATTAGATTTTGCAAATCTCAAGGAATCTAAATATGATTCATTCAAAATAATATGTTGTATTTATCAAATTTAAATTTGAATTTTATTTAAATTTAAATAAAATTCGAATTTTATTTATTTTGAACAAATTTATTGTATTTTCATTATAAGCCCCGTGAATATACGGTGTTACCCAATAAATAAATTAAATTTAAAATTGTCAATTGGGTTAAGAGTTTGAGCTCATGTGACATGACTTGGGGTTATTATTTCAGCCGAATTTGATACAGTTCAATTAGTTGTATTAGTTTTAACACTTTTTATTTTGATACTATTTCAGTAGACTCGAGATTGTCTCGAAGATATCTCTCGATTGAATAGACTCAATACAAAAAATAATGTATTACTTTAAATTTGATTGCAATGGATAAAAACTGGTAATGAGACATTCCAAATCCATATTCCTTTGCAAAAAAGGCAACTTCATTCTAGAAAATAAGAAAAATAGCAGAGAGACCCTGCTGTGAATTTTAAGCGAAAGCTTTCATGTATACAATAAACAGAGAGTAGGTGGCTACTTTTAGAGAGAGAAAGTAGAGAGAAGAAGACTTCATTTATGATTTAACTCTCTCTCTCTCTCTCTCTATGCCTGCGCATATTCTTCGCATCTTGTTATAACACAACTCAATTCTCGTGCCTTTTAAAAGCACAAAACAAACTAAAAACTTCGACTGCGTCTTAATTACGCTCTCTACAGTTACGCTGTCTACAGTTCTTACAGTTACTACCTTCGGCATTTGAATTTCTGTGGCCGGGGCCTCCAGATCCAACCGGAAATTCTCCGCCGGCGACCCTTTTTGTGTTCTTTCATTAAACGACCACATGCTCATCAGGCAGTTCATCTAGTTAAGGTCGGTGATCAATTTCCGATGTAATAAAGCTCCATTTGTTTCTAAATTTGCAAGATCTGGTCTTTGTAGCTCAATTTAATTTTGTTTATTGTGTTTACTCTGTCAGAGATTTCATTTTTTGATTCAATATGCTAATACAAATTGAATGCATTGGCATATACTGTTGTACTATATTTGAAAACGCCAAGATCCGGTACAACTTCCTTTCAATTCTGTTTGAGTTTGAACCCATTCACGTAATATAGATTTATATATACACACACACTCACTCAGACCGACCCCATGTAGGTCTTTATTTTCTGTACAAAGTCGGATTGCCAGTTCAACAACTGCTGCTGTTTTTGTTAATTCTTTAAAATCTCATTATTTTTGTGTGATACATTGATGTGTTGCTCAAGTTTAGCTGATTATTGATTGAACCACTATGGTTAAATAAAAATTTACTCGCAGAATATATCAACCCTTTTCACCACCTTAGCAACCCGTGATGAAATGTGATTTAATTCCTGGCACCTGCTCCTATTTACTCTCAACTTCGCCATTATTCCCAGGGAGCAATCTGATTATAGACATGTTTAATTACTGGATTAATTGGTGGATCTTACGTATAAATGAAGATTTGTATATTGTCGGTCTTCGTTCCAGGTTTAGTTTTGATGTAAAGTGAGAGTTGTGGGGGAGCTGATTGACGAAGAACGGGATGATAGAGTGCAGCGTCTGTCATTCCAAGCTGCTTTCCCCAACTACAAAGACAGTGTCAAGGGCTTATGACGAACACAGGAGCAAGATATCGTCGAAGCAACGGGCCCTCAATGTTCTATTGGTTGTCGGGGATTGTATTTTAGTTGGGTTACAGGTGATTGTCATTTTTTATTCATTTGTAGTTGTTTGATCATGTTTATCATAAAATACTAATTTACTTGAGATTTGACTGGTAATGTGGCACATGTTTGACATTTTCCTGGTATACCCATTTATTTGGAAGAACTTCTGGTCTTTAAGTTCAATTAAGGAGGCAAATTGTTTCAAAACCAAGTGGAACCGTGGTTAGGTTATTTGAATTTTTCTACTTCTACAAGCCATACTACCATTTCTCTACGCATTACTATTTCTTTGATAAGCAATAGTTAGTAACCTTGTAGTCTCCCAGCATATTGATTTTTCGAAAGACCAATATCTCCTCTTCTTTCCAGGATGTTGTCTTTTCTCAATGCATTTTTCGCTTGCGTTCTTGCCCACGTACTTCTGATAATTTAGGGGCCATTTCATGGTGCAGTCGTGCAAGTGTTGGGCTAATGGCCGAGAATTTTTGGGTTTGAATTAGAGGGCAACTATTTTGTAGCTAACATGATCGATTGACAGGGATCTTTATTCATTGCAAATAATTTTCTCACATGACATGTATTGTTTTGTGGAATCGTCAACAGTTTAAGACCTGCCTTCAGTCTATGAGATCGATAGGACAATTTGTCAGGATTTGCTCATAAACATGTAGTTATTTGTTAAAAGGATTAGGGGAGCTTTTCTATATGTATTTTTTGAAGAAGGGTCATAGCAGTTTTTGGAAAAAAATTGGTGCCAGAATTTAATTGCTTTTGATTTTTAAATTTCTCTGTAAGAAGGTTTATGGTTAAAAAATTAACATGCAATATACAAACTGAAAGAAAATTTTCATTCCTAGTGGTTCATTTAGTTCTTCAGCATTGTGTTTATCAATTGCCAGCTCTTTGTTTTTTGGACTGCGTATCACTTTATTTTCCAATACAGAATATACACTTCAATCTTGAAAAACTTGTTACATATATGAGGAATATTGAAAACACTGGATTCTACGCATGATGAAGATATCAAAGAACAAAAAAAATGAGAAGAAGAATAAAATGGAAATGGGGGATTACGGATTTTCAATTCCGGAAGTACCTTAATGAAGAAGAGAAATGTGAAAATAATTTGTAGGTCGAAAAGCAGCGATCCCTCTTAAGATGCATGTGACTTACACTTGTCCAAATTGAAGAATGGCTAAGAAAAGTAGATTTAGGTGTTCTTCTTGTTCTAAAATATTTAGAACTGTGTCCAAAAGCAGCACGCCATTTGTTTTCTTTTGTTTGGAAGTTTTATGTGAAGTGATGGTAAAACAAACTATGTTTCTTTTGGGGCACATTGCTAACATTTGAAGAAGTTCGAAGTGCAATATGAGGCTTTTAATCTTTGAAGGGGGCAAAGTGCTTATTGACCTCTTTCAATAGTTATTGATTCAAATGTGAAATATTTTGTGGGAGAAGTAGCACAAAGTATGAAGGGAAAGAACCCTTGTTATTCCTCTGTAAGAAAACATAAAAAAGAAAGTTCCATTTAGCATAAATACTAAAATACATACTTTCACGCTAAAGAGATCGATAGATAACAAACAAGCCACTCTTCTTTTACCATACTTCNCATGTATACAATAAACAGAGAGTAGGTGGCTACTTTTAGAGAGAGAAAGTAGAGAGAAGAAGACTTCATTTATGATTTAACTCTCTCTCTCTCTCTCTCTATGCCTGCGCATATTCTTCGCATCTTGTTATAACACAACTCAATTCTCGTGCCTTTTAAAAGCACAAAACAAACTAAAAACTTCGACTGCGTCTTAATTACGCTCTCTACAGTTACGCTCTCTACAGTTCTTACAGTTACTACCTTCGGCATTTGAATTTCTGTGGCCGGGGCCTCCAGATCCAACCGGAAATTCTCCGCCGGCGACCCTTTTTGTGTTCTTTCATTAAACGACCACATGCTCATCAGGCAGTTCATCTAGTTAAGGTCGGTGATCAATTTCCGATGTAATAAAGCTCCATTTGTTTCTAAATTTGCAAGATCTGGTCTTTGTAGCTCAATTTAATTTTGTTTATTGTGTTTACTCTGTCAGAGATTTCATTTTTTGATTCAATATGCTAATACAAATTGAATGCATTGGCATATACTGTTGTACTATATTTGAAAACGCCATGATCCGGTACAACTTCCTTTCAATTCTGTTTGAGTTTGAACCCATTCACGTAATATAGATTTATATATACACACACACTCACTCAGACCGACCCCATGTAGGTCTTTATTTTCTGTACAAAGTCGGATTGCCAGTTCAACAACTGCTGCTGTTTTTGTTAATTCTTTAAAATCTCATTATTTTTGTGTGATACATTGATGTGTTGCTCAAGTTTAGCTGATTATTGATTGAACCACTATGGTTAAATAAAAATTTACTCGCAGAATATATCAACCCTTTTCACCACCTTAGCAACCCGTGATGAAATGTGATTTAATTCCTGGCACCTGCTCCTATTTACTCTCAACTTCGCCATTATTCCCAGGGAGCAATCTGATTATAGACATGTTTAATTACTGGATTAATTGGTGGATCTTACGTATAAATGAAGATTTGTATATTGTCGGTCTTCGTTCCAGGTTTAGTTTTGATGTAAAGTGAGAGTTGTGGGGGAGCTGATTGACGAAGAACGGGATGATAGAGTGCAGCGTCTGTCATTCCAAGCTGCTTTCCCCAACTACAAAGACAGTGTCAAGGGCTTATGACGAACACAGGAGCAAGATATCGTCGAAGCAACGGGCCCTCAATGTTCTATTGGTTGTCGGGGATTGTATTTTAGTTGGGTTACAGGTGATTGTCATTTTTTATTCATTTGTAGTTGTTTGATCATGTTTATCATAAAATACTAATTTACTTGAGATTTGACTGGTAATGTGGCACATGTTTGACATTTTCCTGGTATACCCATTTATTTGGAAGAACTTCTGGTCTTTAAGTTCAATTAAGGAGGCAAATTGTTTCAAAACCAAGTGGAACCGTGGTTAGGTTATTTGAATTTTTCTACTTCTACAAGCCATACTACCATTTCTCTACGCATTACTATTTCTTTGATAAGCAATAGTTAGTAACCTTGTAGTCTCCCAGCATATTGATTTTTCGAAAGACCAATATCTCCTCTTCTTTCCAGGATGTTGTCTTTTCTCAATGCATTTTTCGCTTGCGTTCTTGCCCACGTACTTCTGATAATTTAGGGGCCATTTCATGGTGCAGTCGTGCAAGTGTTGGGCTAATGGCCGAGAATTTTTGGGTTTGAATTAGAGGGCAACTATTTTGTAGCTAACATGATCGATTGACAGGGATCTTTATTCATTGCAAATAATTTTCTCACATGACATGTATTGTTTTGTGGAATCGTCAACAGTTTAAGACCTGCCTTCAGTCTATGAGATCGATAGGACAATTTGTCAGGATTTGCTCATAAACATGTAGTTATTTGTTAAAAGGATTAGGGGAGCTTTTCTATATGTATTTTTTGAAGAAGGGTCATAGCAGTTTTTGGAAAAAAATTGGTGCCAGAATTTAATTGCTTTTGATTTTTAAATTTCTCTGTAAGAAGGTTTATGGTTAAAAAATTAACATGCAATATACAAACTGAAAGAAAATTTTCATTCCTAGTGGTTCATTTAGTTCTTCAGCATTGTGTTTATCAATTGCCAGCTCTTTGTTTTTTGGACTGCGTATCACTTTATTTTCCAATACAGAATATACACTTCAATCTTGAAAAACTTGTTACATATATGAGGAATATTGAAAACACTGGATTCTACGCATGATGAAGATATCAAAGAACAAAAAAAATGAGAAGAAGAATAAAATGGAAATGGGGGATTACGGATTTTCAATTCCGGAAGTACCTTAATGAAGAAGAGAAATGTGAAAATAATTTGTAGGTCGAAAAGCAGCGATCCCTCTTAAGATGCATGTGACTTACACTTGTCCAAATTGAAGAATGGCTAAGAAAAGTAGATTTAGGTGTTCTTCTTGTTCTAAAATATTTAGAACTGTGTCCAAAAGCAGCACGCCATTTGTTTTCTTTTGTTTGGAAGTTTTATGTGAAGTGATGGTAAAACAAACTATGTTTCTTTTGGGGCACATTGCTAACATTTGAAGAAGTTCGAAGTGCAATATGAGGCTTTTAATCTTTGAAGGGGGCAAAGTGCTTATTGACCTCTTTCAATAGTTATTGATTCAAATGTGAAATATTTTGTGGGAGAAGTAGCACAAAGTATGAAGGGAAAGAACCCTTGTTATTCCTCTGTAAGAAAACATAAAAAAGAAAGTTCCATTTAGCATAAATACTAAAATACATACTTTCACGCTAAAGAGATCGATAGATAACAAACAAGCCACTCTTCTTTTACCATACTTCTTGGTAATTTGGGTTCCCATTTGATTTCAGCCATAACATAGTTGATAGATCTGATCATCTGAATTCTCTCTTATCCAGTAACAATTTGTTATGAACACAATCTATAGTAGCCACTCATCCAGCCACAGCACATTGAACCTCAATAATGGTTTAGTAAAATCCCTTAGCCAAAGCCTCTATAAGCTATTCTAAAGGAGTTATACCTCCACCTTCTTGATGAATGTGATATTAGCCAGTCATCCAATGGTTATTCGGAGATCTTTCAGTCCTTTTGTAAGGAAAGGTAGATCAACTTTTTTGTATCCAAAGTCGATGTGTACTTTGATAGAAGAATGGGATTTTAGCTAGTCAATTTAATGTAAATTTAGGATGGGAGTCTTTTCCCTGCTTCTATTTGAGTTCTTTATTTCCAAAAATCTGCAAGCATTAGGTTGCTTATGTGAGTGATTCGATAATTATGACTTGTGAGTTCCCTTATTGCAAAGCTTGTGGTTGTTTCCCTTGCATGGCACCACCACAAGAAGGCAAGAATGAAGATCAATAGTCCAATAAGGTATTTAGGTTTGTTCAATGGCGATGGTGGAAATTCTAACCCACTTTTGCTATCTAGCAAATGTGGCTGACGTTTGCTATCTCGCTATTATGGCTTTGTCAATTGTCATGGACATCTGTGCTCTTTTGGAAGTTCTTAGGAAAGCCATATGCAACTCATAGATTGAGGGGCATTCTGAGGTGATGTTTTGTTTGGTCAGATTTACCTCCATCGGCTCTTATGGCTTTGATAACAGGTGGCTGAGTTTTGGCATATTTTCCAATNTCATAGATTGAGGGGCATTCTGAGGTGATGTTTTGTTTGGTCAGATTTACCTCCATCAGCTCTTATGGCTTTGACAACAGGTGGCTGAGTTTTGGCATATTTTCCAACGCCTTAAATTTGTTGGACTCCTCGTCACCCAAAGCTAGAGTGAATTTTCTAGTTGACTTTGGTTTGCAGACTAGTTATTTTTTTAACCCAACTTAAGATTTTTGAGGGTCCTAGTCTGTCTTACTTCATATGTGTTTACTTAGAAGGATTCCAAAGTCTCCTTAGTTTGTTTTCCTTCTCTATTCTTAATGTGTTTTTGTACATCTGCATAAAAAGAGGAAAAAAAGTAAAAATAAATCTACACTCTTGATAGACACACACACACTCTTCCTCTTAACTCTTTCTATTGTGTAAGCGGTTGACTGCTCTCGCTTTTGTTTATAGAGGAGGGAAAAGAAAGTAAAATATATGTACTAAATGCATCGTATTGGTTTTGAAGTACATTGATTAAAGCCCGTATTGAAAAAGGCTTAGCATACGTTTGATGTACCTATTAATTGCTTATCTCCACGTGAAACATATTGNAAGAAAGTAAAATATATGTACTAAATGCATCGTATTGGTTTTGAAGTACATTGATTAAAGCCCGTATTGAAAAAGGCTTAGCATACGTTTGATGTACCTATTAATTGCTTACCTCCATGTGAAACATATTGTTTTGTGTTTTGCTGAGTATTGATAATCTTGCCTTACATTATTGTTTTTTTTTTTCCAGCCTATTTTGGTTTTTATGTCCAAGGTGGATGGGAATTTTAAATTTAGCCCCGTTAGTGTTAACTTTCTTACCGAGGGTGCAAAAGTTCTCTTTGCAGTTGTTATGCTTTTGATCCAGGTACATTTTATTTTTTTCGTCATTGTCAATATCTTCCCATGTTTTCCTTTAATCTTCTGGAATATTTGCGAATTGTATTTGTTCAACTAAGACAGACTTTGAGAGAATTTTGAATAAATTTGAGTTCACTCATTCCTTAATTTTTTTTTACGGCCAAACCATGCGAGGGGAAACTTTTTTAATTTAATAAAGCATGTTAGAAGTGAGTTGATGAATACTTAAGGATCAAAATTTCTTTTTGTTTCTACCAAAACTAAAATCGGGATGAATCAGTGATTGAATATCAAAATTCCTATGTTTTAAAGTATTTTGGATTGTTTTGGGTTCTTTTGGAATGTTTCGGTCAATGTTTTAGAATATTTTGGAATTACAATTCCAATTTTTTTCTCCATTTCGCTTATATTTCTGAACCATTTCCCAAATAATTTCATTTCCAAGCATGCTGAAATTATGCACCAAAACAAAATTTTGATCCTTGCTAGTACTTTGGAGGATTGTGGTAGTTTTGAGGACCAAGTAGTGAGATTTGTCATTATGATGCTGATCATTGGCGACTAGAACTGTAAAGGCCAAAAAACAGTGGGTGAAGATTGTCGATGTACTCTTGTCGGATAATTGCAAACGTGCAGAGTGGAATATGTCATAAAATGTAATGTGGATTATTTATCAATAGATGAAATAAGAAATGGTATATCTTATAAAAAGATGTTTGTGGAGCTTCTCAAAGTGTATAGACAATCATTATATAACACTTGTTACTTCGACATCTATGCCTTTTGACATTTTAATCTCGAACCTTGTGAATTCCAGTTTGTGTTGTTGTAATTCTTGGCCTGCATGAACTTTAATCTTCATGTTGTGGTTGATTTTGCAGGCTAGGCGCCAGAAAGTTGGTGAGAAGCCCCTTCTCTCAATTTCGACATTTGTGCAGGTATGAAGTCTTAATGACTTATATATTGTGCATTCGAAGAAGGTTAATACATTCTTTTCATTATGTTGCCTGATTTTTCCAGCAATGCTCAGTTTTTATGTGTAAACTATTTCGCATGGGTTAGGCCATTATAATGAGACGAATTCAGTTTGAATGCACTGGTTCCCTGTTTTAGGCATGTGACATGATAAAAACTTTAAGAGTCTAGTCTTCTGCATTATATTCCAGTTCTTTCAGATTTCTGTGAATGTGCATTGATATACACTAAAATGGTTGGCTTTGTTAGTACTACACTAGGCAGTTTTCATACTGCCAGGAGTGCATATCTGGCTTTAGGTTACTGGATGCTAAAGAGATATACTTGTTGGATTGCTGCAAGGTTCATAGACACCATTGGTGTCTATTGGAGTGGTTTTTCTTGTTCCATGATAAGTAAATTATCACTGAAGAAAGCTTGAAGGAAGCATAACCCAAGCACACATATTAACTCCTTCAATTGGTCGGGCCCAATGTTAACAGCTCGAGCCCACAAAATTTCCTTGGTCCTGCACAATTTTCTTTAACTCAGGACTGGTCTTGGGCTGGAAAGTGAAAACTCTCAACTCAGCTACAATTTTGGTTGTGTTTGTGAAGCCCAAGCCAACTTGAAGCCCGATCCATTCCTATGTATAGAATATTGAAGAAAAAGATTGTGATTTATTTTCAACCATTGGATGGTAGGTTACCATGGAGGCTTAACTTAATATCGTGCATACTTTCACCTAAGAATATGATTCTGTTTGTAATTTTTGTATTTGAAAACCCTAATCTGCATCCATTATCGTCCTCTTTGTTGGCCTGGAGTAGAGGTGCAACAAGTTTTCCTGATACTCGTTGGAGGGTTTAACCAACCTGACCAGTGGGCGCTTGATGTTGAGCTAGTTAAAATAAAGAAGTTGCGCCTTCACTAATACTTGCTGGTTTTGGTGCAACAGTAAGTGCTTCGATCCAACACTCATGACCTCACGAANTCGTTGGAGGGTTTAACCAACCTGACCAGTGGGCGCTTGATGTTGAGCTAGTTAAAAGAAAGAAGTTGCGCCTTCACTAATACTTGCGGGTTTTGGTGCAACAGTAAGTGCTTCGATCCAACACTCATGACCTCACGAACTCCATTTTACAGAAATTGAAAGTGCATCTCACAAGCCGGGCACTTCATTGCAATCTTGGCTTGCAATTTCAAATACCTATCTTATTTGCTTATTGGATCTTATTCGTGTTAGATAGAGAACAAATACCTATCTTGTTATTTTGTCCTCATGATGCCAAGAGAAATACCCTGAGTGGTTGAAGCAAGATTTGGAGGCTTTTTTGGCTGGAATTTTGGAGAATTTTTGCACAGCCCAAGCTTAACATAACTAGTGGAATTCACATTGGCAGTTTGCTTGTGCCGGCCATCAGGCAGCCTCTGATCAGAACCCATCCTGGTTTTGTTTGCCTGGAATTTGAAAGTATTGTTGCACAGCCCAATNACAGCCCAAGCTTAACATAACTAGTGGAATTCACATTGGCAGTTTGCTTGTGCCGGCTATCAGGCAGCCTCTGATCAGAACCCATCCTGGTTTTGTTTGCCTGGAATTTGAAAGTATTGTTGCACAGCCCAATCCTAACATAAACTATTGGAATTCACATTGGCTGGGCATTTTGGTTGTGCTGGTCATCAGGCAAGCTCGGATCTGGACCCATCCTGCCCAAGACCTGAGTTCTTCACACAGTACGCAAGAAGGATCACACTGGGGGATGAAANCTATTGGAATTCACATTGGCTGGGCATTTTGGTTGTGCTGGTCATCAGGCAAGCTCGGATCTGGACCCATCCTGCCCAAGACCTGAGTTGCACTCTTCACACAGTACGCAAGAAGGATCACACTGGGGGATGAAACATACCCATTACACAAATCTCTAAATGTAATCAGCACAGAAAGAAAGAATTATCTGGGATAGCCACCAAAACAAACTACTAAGCCTCTAGCTTGCACTTTCTTTCTAAAAAGTTCTATGCCAAAAATATTTGCATATAGAAGCTTTAGCTTTTTAAATTTTTTTTTGAATGTGTTTTTACACCCTTAAAAATCATGTATTTTTATGTTAATCTTATGTACCTGAGCTTTGGTATTTGGTTGATTGTTTAACATGAGGCCTATGGTAATGTAACTATTGTATTCCTTGCAGGCTGCTCGCAGTAATGTGCTACTTGCAGTTCCAGCGTTTCTCTATGCAATCAATAACTATCTAAAGTTTGTCATGCAGGTATAGTCATTGCAATTACTTTCCACTTCCAAGCATATGTATGTGCTTCTGAAGAGCAGCTTATGCCTACATGGTTGTATGACTTATGAATGCTGCCTCAAGTTGGTGTTATCGTTGTCTGAGTTTCTTAGATAAGAAATGTTGGTTGCAATAATGTGACCAAGATATTTTTTTTTTTAAGTTGGTAATTGGATTCCTAGGCACTGAAACTGTTAGGACACTGGCTTAACATGCAGTTGCTGCTGTTAGGATGAGGGTAGAACTAAGAGGGGAGGTCAACTTTTAATGATGAACAATTTTGTTAGGGCCAAGGCTTTGTTAAGTTTATTAAGCTGTGTGGAATAGGTCACTTATGAACTGAACAAAGTTTTTATCCCAAGTGCTTGGCATCAGCTGCATGAATTCTTTGATTGTTATAATGTAGAGCCATTGATTGTTGTAATGTAATAATTTTAGCTTTTGGAAGAATTTGACTCAAGGGGACAACAATAAATGTGATGGCATTTGAGTCAGNAGCCATTGATTGTTGTAATGTAATAATTTTAGCTTTTGGAAGAATTTGACTCAAGGGAACAACAATAAATGTGATGGCATTTGAGTCAGTGAGGACTATGGTCCAAGATAGATTTAGTCCAGAAATGATATGTGTTTTAGTGGTTGGGGATTAAGGTTAAGTTAAGATGATACTTGTGGTCTCAAAGAGGGGAATCAAATATGAACTGAAAATGGAGCTGCCTACGGAGTTGTAACACATATAAAATTGCCGTATCCTAGTTTTGTTCAATTTTTTCCTGGATTTATCATGAAATGTGGTCATGTCTTACACAAAGTTAAGGTTTTGTTAACCTACCTGTTCTGCTGGTGGGTTAAATGTGTACCCAAACATGAACAGCCAATATTTTATCATATGGTTAGCTCATGAAATGTAGTGGAATAGTAGTCTGACTTCCTTCCCTCACCCTTTCCAACTGACCGCTCCCAAGAAGCTTCTCTTTCTGCTTCCTTAGTGGCCACCCTTTTCTGCCTCCCCCCCACCCACCCCCCGCAGAGAAAAAAAACCTCACTCACCTTTCTTTGGAGAAATCATTTAATTTTTTATCTCAATCTCCAAGCCTTTGCTGCAATCAGTAGAGATTAATGGATGACGGTCCCTGCTTTGGTGTATTCCAAAGGGCATAAAATGAGGTAGAAGTTGTTGATAGTAGTAGTTTGGACAGTGGTGGTGACATTCGGAAAGGTCATGGGCATCCTCAATGTATATCTTCTTCACCGGACTTCATGGAGGTTAATTGTCTGAGCTAGGAGGTGGTGATCAATAGCTCTGGTGAAAACTTTGGCTTATAAAACATTGGGTAAGGACACAACATTCTCTATCAATACTTTTCTTCACTAAAATTGATAGAGATTAACAGACTGATCTAAGAGGTTGTGGTCATGAGCTCTGAAGGAGCATCTGGCCTGATACAAGATAGTTGTTTCACCTATACACACACACACATGAGAGAAGCCTATAACTAAACTGGAGAAGAAGAGGGNATAGAGATTAACAGACTGATCTAAGAGGTTGTGGTCATGAGCTCTGAAGGAGCATCTTGCCTGATACAAGATAGTTGTTTCACCTATACACACACACACATGAGAGAAGCCTATAACTAAACTGGAGAAGAAGAGGGTGGCTGGAGATGAGAGCTTGCGTACCTGCTCACTGGAATAATAGGAAAGGAGGTGTTAGGGAGGGGGTGCCTTGTTTCTGTTTTTCTCTTAATTGATATTAGTTCAAACCAACAAAGGGGACATTTTTTGTATTTCAACTTTCAGTACACAGGATAATTTAGCAGGATCAAGTATCAAATACTTAATGCTTAGTTGAAAGAAGTGAGAAAAATGTGATGAAATCTTTTGGAAAAAATTTAATGGCACATTATGCACAACGGAATGCCTATCAATTAAAGAAAAGGAAGAGTTTCCACGGTTGCATTTTCTGTAACTATTATTTGTTGGCTACTGTCGTGATGACTTGTAATTTCATTGCCTAGGTGGTTTAGTGAATTTTGATACTGTGGCTCATAATTTGTTTTGTAACTTCATTGAACTTTGTCTTGATTGAATTTTTGTCCAATTTGATGCAAGTTTTCTGAATATATTGTCTGTCGCAAGTGATTTAATTATGCAAACTTCTTGTGCAGCTGTATTTCAATCCTGCGACTGTGAAGATGCTTAGCAATCTGAAGGTATATTGTGATCTTATTTACATATATGATGTTAGTTACTAAGAAAATATTGTTCACCGTAACATTAATCGTTCATGGCTTTTGGATTTCGTCTTCTTGTGTATTGATGTTTTTGGTGCTAGCTTTTTGTTGGTTCCATCATTCTGTATTATATTGTCCGAGGATCAAAATTTCATTTGGTTTCATTTTTATTGTAACGGCCGAAATGTTTCCGTGAAAATTAAAGCGAATCAATAACAAAAAATTGAAATTCCCATTTTTCAGGATGTTTCGGAATTTTTCGGCCAATGTTTTGGAAATCAAAATTTTACATTTTTTCTTTGTTTTCATTATGTTTTCACAAAAATTGCGTAACATTTCCATTTCCAAGTTAACCGAAATTATGGATCAAAATGAAAGGATCCTAGATACTACAAATGATAGCAGATGAAATAAATTAGTTTATGTTTTCACAATTGTTTGTGGTGTATTTACAGAATTTTATGGCTAATTTTGAGAAAATTGGTAGCTTCTTGTAGCAGAGAAACATACATTTAGCTTCGTGATGTGTTATATTTCTATTGGTAGTGGGAGGGTAAATAGGACTTGGCTTGCTGGGTAGAACTTCCTTTTCACGAGTGGTCAATCAATTCTACTGTATGGATTTGCTTTTGCATGATCTGGCTCAAATTTAGCCAGCTTGATTCATTGTGTTTAGTTATGCATAGTAAACCTAACTCTTTACTTGGATGATGAGGTTTAAAATACAAGATGTGACGCAAAATCCAACTGAGAGATCAAAACCCAGAAACACCTAAAGTTCGAAAAATAAATCAATGAACCTCAGAAATAAAACGGTACTTGTTTTAAAGTAAGAGTCATTATTATACTGAAAACAAAATGCATGGCTGCGGGATGTGGAATTTTCTTAGGCACTAGAAATGAAGGGGGTCTAGTACTAAAGGAAAATTAATCAAAGTGAGGGGCTTAAGATTAAGTTTTACCCGTTTATAAAATCAACAGAGTTCTGACAAAAATTTCAAAAACACAGTATAATTTTTGTATACAAATAAAATGAAAAACAAATTAACGGGACAGAGGGATTGCTATAGAGTTGAATTCGTGTAGAACCTTTTAGAAGTTGTAGAAGAACAACATCGGTTAATGTGACTGTGGATTTAGTATGCTGGAAAAGGAGGATAGGGATGTTAGTTGTAGTAGAAGATGGAAGAGTTGGTGTGACTGGATTGTTTGCCAACTTACCTTTTCAGGCATTGCTGGAGGTCAGAGCATTAGGTGGCCATGTACAGAAGAGTTTATGAAAACTGGCTGGGTTTCTGCATGATATGACTGATAGTAGTAGGGAACCGAAGAAAGAAAAGGAATGGGAAACACAAAGTGATATGAAGCTAAAAAAAAAAGAGGGCATGTCGAAAATTTCCAAATATGTTATGTACTTTTTGTGCTCTTGCACATGGATTACTTAATAAGTTGATGTTTAATATTTCCCCAAAAAGGAAAAATATGAAACAAATGAATAGGTTTCTCATTGTATCCAAAACATGAGTACGAGGCACAACCAAGATAGAAATGTACTATTGAACAAAAGGAAAAGATGCATTGGGTGGCATGACAGAAATTTTGCTTTTGGCATATGCTGAGAGTTTGGTTGTGGACTTGCTCAAGATATATTATGTTTGGCCGTAGAAGACTAATTTCCGCCATTGAAGAGTAGTTTATTAGGGATGCTGGGCTAGAAGGGATATTGTGGTGTGTTGTCTAATAGTAAGTCAATCTGAATTCTGAATCAATAGGTATTTCAACCTTGCTCAATATGCGAGATATCATGTAAATCAACAAGATTTTCTTCTCTGCTACTGGTTTTACACCAATGATTCATATATTTGGTTTGACGATTAAAAAGGCCAGAACAATGTGTTGGTCTACCCCATAGGATTTTTTGTTGCGTAATTGCTGAGCCGGAGCCTGTCTAAGGACGTACAAATTTTATTATCTCTATTGTCTGGCTATGTTTAGAAGGGCTCGAATTCCTGATTTTGGTGATAAATTGAATGTTTTTATTAGTCAGGAGCTTCATTGCGAGGGGCTTTCCCCTTGTTTACATCCTTGATTGTGTCTAAAGTGGTGATTCGAGTGCTTTCCTATTTCACATTGTTCTACGTGTCGATTCAATTAACTTATGATCTGTTGCTGTTCTTTTCAGTTTGTGAGCTATTGTTTTGTTCCCCATGGGGCATTTTTAGTTTTTTTTTCTTGAGTTAATGAGTTGCAGTAATCTCGTCAGGCAATTAACCTAAATGATAGAGAGTGTTGATATTGGAAAAAGCAAGAGCCAGACCTTTCTTTCTGTAATGTTTATTAAACCTAGTCTCCTTGAACTGCTAGTCTTGCTAGTGCAGATGTGGCAGAGAGGGAGTTGGGAATGAGAGTCAGAGTGGGAGCTGGGAATGCGAGGTCTTTTGAAATTCTGGGGATTAAGTTTGTGGGTGCCATTCTGTGCAACTAGTGCCAAAGGTTGTGTTTGTGCCAGGCTTTTCACTCCAAACACCTTTCATTTGCGGGAATGATTTTTAATGTCATTTATTGGCCTTTCCATAACTGATGCTACTAAATAGTGGGATTTGAGCCCTACTGTTTGCCATCTAGTGGCCTTCAAATGATCACCAGACATCAAGAACTTTCTCATTTTGTTCCACTGAATCTAAATCAGGGTTCACCTAAGGTGCACCTAAATATTTTTTCCAAAGTGAGGATCTCAAAGTTTCAACTTTCTTGCCTGTACTGTGTTACCAGTCAGTCTACTAACTTATTTGAACTGGAGTCTATATTGTATAGTCTTTGTCTGTCTTTTTCTTTTTCTTAAATTGTTTCTTGCAGATTACATGATAACACACTACAGTGGGATTCACAGTGTCATAGATACCACGTTTTTGAAATGCTATTATCAAATGGAGATGAATTTTGCATAGATCTCACTGCTCACAAAAGTGTTTGGCAACCTTATAAGTTTATTTGACACTACAATAGAAGGTGAAATGTTGGTGTTCATTTTTGTACTTACGTATGTAATATTCTTGCTATTGTTATTGCATTTTTCCTGATAAATAGTGCACAAATGAGACCAAGGGTTGTCCTAGTTTTGTAAGCGGCTATCTTAACCGAACTCGAGACTCCTTGCTTAAGTTCTTGCCTGTAGCGAGAAATGTAACACACAAACTCCCATGTCACAAACAGGAGTTGTTCCTGTACCTCTCCTTTGGGAGGGTGGCAGGACATAATGCTTGAGCTAATGGTTGGCGGCAACTTAAATAGAGGATGCTGCTAGATACTATTTTGTTATATTTATCTTTTTTGATATCTTTTAATATTAATTTTGTTCATTTGTGGTTGTGGGCTATGAAAATGCAGGTTTTGGTTATTGCTGTTCTTTTGAAAGTAATAATGAGGCGTAGATTTTCCATCATTCAGGTTAGTTCCATCTTTTAAATGGTAGTAGTTTTATCAATTTAGCTATTTAAGTGTAAAAAGGAGCTTGATGTATGGATGATTTAAAGGATTATATACGATCAATGAAAACATCATTTACTGATCATTTTGATGCATGTATTAATAGAAAAAATTGTAAAAACTATAAATGCAAATGCAACCTTGTTTCATTTTTGCTACAGTGGGAGGCTCTTGCTTTGTTGCTTATTGGAATTAGCATAAATCAGATGCGTTCCCTGCCTGAGGGTACTACTGCTTTGGGACTTCCTGTAGCAACGGGTGCATACATCTACACTTTGGTCTTTGTAAGTGATTTTAGTTGTTTGCTGCCAGTAGATATTGATGCCTCCTATACATCGAATTGCTGCATATGCATGAGGTGGATTTTAGATTAGACTTCATCACAACTTTGTTTTTCATTTATCTTGTTACTGTTCAGTGGAGGCTTACTTTTGGATTTGAATGTACAGGTTACTGTTCCATCTTTGGCCTCAGTTTACAATGAATATGCTCTGAAGAGTCAATATGATACAAGCATTTACCTTCAGGTGATCACGGATAATGTTGAGTAGGCCTATTCTGGAATTTCATTTAGTACAGAGCTCCATATTTTCCCTCCATTAGCATAATTTACATAATCGTCTGTATTTTTCTACTGTACCCGAAATTACGTTAGGCCGAACAATGAAGATATTTAGTTTCAGTTCTTGTGTTAATGACTTAGTACGGTTTCCTAGGTGCATGGAGTGAATATGTGAGTTTAACTGTGTGCCTTTGTCTAAGCTGGAAATTGTTCCAATATGGAATTTTTTCTTTTACCCTGGGTCCTCTGTCCTCTGCCACAAGTTTGAAGATCTCCCTGCTTTATAGTATAGGAAACAGACAAGTAGCTTTATTTATGGGCATGTAAGCTATGACAGGGGTTATCTAGAAGGAAATAAATTGGAGGATTCTTTTATTCCTTTTATGGGTTCTTGTTTATGGAGTTTGTCTTCAAGTGGCTTATGTGATGGACCACGAGGCAAATGTAAATTTGATAATTTTAGGACTCAACATCTTTTCATCACCATGACAATGTTGGGTGAATCAGTGTGGTACATGGTACCTATACGGGTGCATAGTAACACACTTTTTCGTTACGCGGTGCGAGGTGGGTAGACTTAGTTGGTATAGGGTGTTGGGTTGTGATTTTTTCTAGGACTTTTATCTAGATATCTTTCATTGTTATATGAAATTACATATAATTATACCTCCATACTGACATAGTCAATTAATATTTCAATCCTATTCAATCAATATTCATTTTATATTTTTAATACGAGTTTCAAATGTCAATTTCAAGTTAGGATTAGAATTTAGGATCAGGGATTTATGTGATTTGGATCACAAACCTACCCCATTAGGAGTCGTTGCACCTAGATTGTGGTTCAGCTGGGGTAATCTATTCATGGTAACTGTGACTCAACATTTGTTTGGGATCAATCTACTTTATTTGAATCTAAAGCATTCATTTAATAAACCCTTGTACTTCTCCTATAACTTTCTAGTTCTCTTGTTTTGTTAAGGATGCCAATCTTGAGCTCTTTCTTTGACACTTTTTTTCCTTGCAGAACTTGTTTTTATATGGATATGGTGCTATATTCAACTTTCTAGCGATTCTTGGAATTGCCATTTTCAAAGGTATTGACATGAATCTCTTTGTCCAATCCTACCAATTGGTATTAATAATTGACAGTTAGTATGCTTTGGAGTTGTATTTATGTCAAGTGTTCGATGGTGATTACTTATAAAAAGCACATCTTTTGAAGGTAACTGTTTGTTTTACTCACCCCAGTACTTGCCATGATTGGGAATGAATAAAATATTTTTTTTGCTTTGTTAATACTTATACCGTTTAGACTGCTCCACATGTAGAGCTTTATCATCGGAGCAGATCTACTTGCTGGCACTAGTGCTTTTCAGTCAATTAGANACTTGCCATGATTGGGAATGAATAAAATATTTTTTTTGCTTTGTTAATACTTATACCATTTAGACTGCTCCACATGTAGAGCTTTATCATCGGAGCAGATCTACTTGCTGGCACTAGTGCTTTTCAGTCAAATAGGNTAACTGTTTGTTTTACTCACCCCAGTACTTGCCATGATTGGGAATGAATAAAATATTTTTTTTGCTTTGTTAATACTTATACCGTTTAGACTGCTCCACATGTAGAGCTTTATCATCGGAGCAGATCTACTTGCTGGCACTAGTGCTTTTCAGTCAATTAGAGGGCTGCAGACCATTGTTATCTTGAATAGCTACAAATGAAACCTATCTTTGTGCCAAATATGCTGTAAATTTTTAAAAATTTAGCACCACTACCAAAACAACTTTGGCTGTTACCAAAGGAATGTGTGTAGGTAAGCACTGGCATACAAGCTGTAGTGTCAAAATTGACGTTGGCAGTCAACAAAGGGCTTTTAGGGGCTGCTTATGGTTTGTTTCTGTGGTTAAAAGATGATAGGAATTTAGGGATTTAAGGATTGTAAAAGGTACAAAAATAGGGGTAAAGTCCGATAGTTCAATTAGGTAAAGAAAGAGGTAGCTTTGTGGTTTTTCAGGGTGCTGCGAACAGTACAAGTGAACAGAACATAAATAAATTAGAAGAAGAAGATTAGAAGAAAACAAAAGAGTTGATAGAATGCATTATCAATTTATCATGTTCCAATCATTTAATTTTCTACTGAATAGATCAACTACCTAATTATTTTCAGCCTGTTGGACCCTCCTAATTGAGGAACTCTACCTTTTGACCCAATATAGACCCCAAATGACTTATTTTGATCCAAAAGATGGCTTATGGACTACGGTTACTAGCCTTGTCAAGTAACTATTGGAAACCCCAAATACCTCCACTTTTGGCACCTAACAAAACATTAAATTTAAACGTGCTCTACAGTGTGCCACATTGAAATCTAGGATTACCTTTTTTCTTGTTCATGTGCTCCGCATCAAAATCTACAATTTCGCAAGCAGATAGTAGAAATATAATCCTGGACTGCAGCTTACTTTGGCAATGACCAGTGCCTTTCATTAAGTTGTGGGTTTATGCTAATCCCCAAAGATCTTTTTGCTATACATTTATGTTGGAGCTATATAATCCTGCACAGGACTTCTTGCTTTGGCAACGACCACCGCATTTCCATAATGTTGTTGATTTGTGCCTATCTCCAAAGATCTTTGGTGCTAGATTTTAGGGCTGGCAAGCAATTTTGATTGGAATTGAAGGGTGGATGTCTTTATCAATCAAGTATTTATTGTGCAATTGTTGGCGTAATTTACTTCCAGTTAACTGTTGTGTTAGAACTGAAGAATTGTATGCGGTTTTACTTTCCTTTCTTGTTACAATATAAGAATTAAATGTCTTTTGAGTCATTTATGCAAATTTCTCTCTGGCCATGGAACTGACTTATGATTGGTGGCATCGCCTGCTACCTCTACCACTGTCGGGAGAGGCTACTCTGTCTGTATATTGATATGTCGCCATTCGGCCGTTTATTGTTTCAAACAACTCAGATTTAGCTCTCGCCCAGAGGTTCCAAAAATAGAAGTTGTTGGGTAAAAGCGATTGGGCTTCCTCTTGCATTGTGGTCATGCTTTCACTTGAAGCTGAAGGGACTTATTTAACCTTATTTCATGTAGAATTGGAGGCCCGAATTATTCATATTAGAAGGACACACTAGAGTTACATGGCAATATGGCATAATCACACCTTTTGGCTTTCGCTTGGAAATTTACTTTCCTAAATGATCACTGAATATTGCAGTGGTTGCGTTTTATGATTTTTGTTTTTAGCTGAAATGCAGTTATTTTGTTGAAGCTCCCAGTTTCTTTTTTGCCACAACCATACTTGATATAGGACATCTGAATATACCTTAAGATGTTTTATTGCAGTTGGTTCAGGAGATATCTAGGTTAAAACTGTGGCTCTGATTTTTTTTTATTTTGAATATTTCAGGTCCCAGTAACTTTGATATTTTACAAGGACATTCAAAAGCTACCATGCTTTTAATATGTAACAATGCAGCACAAGGAATTTTATCCTCCTTTTTCTTCAAATATGCTGGTGAGATTTCTTTGCGTAGTTGTCTAATAATTCAGTTCTTGCACCAAATATTGAGCAATACTTCACAGTTTAGAACCTTTTTTCATTAATCATAGCTTGTTAGTTTGACTTATATGTGTGATGTCTTATGACTCCTTGAATCTAAGTCTTCATTTGATGCACTCAGATACAATTTTGAAGAAATATTCATCAACTGTTGCAACAATCTTTACCGGCATTGCCTCTGCTGCGTTGTTTGGTCATACTTTGACCATAAACTTCATTTTAGGGATAACTGTTGTTTTCATTTCAATGCACCAGGTATTACTTCAAATAGAAGTATCCATTTGACCTTTCTGAGTTTGTTTTCCATCTAACTCTGCTTCATTTGTTCTTCAGTTCTTCTCACCTCTTTCAAAAGTGAAAGATGAACAACAAAATGGAGTGCTGGAACGATTGGACATTCAAAATAACAGGTATTTGTTTGTTCTCTTTGCCTCCGTTGTGAAGGATAGTTGTGGTGAAATGCTTCCACATGGTGGTGCAACATGGAAAGGTCAACCTGAACCCATCCTGAGTCCTGCCCAAAAAATTCAGTCTGTGGGCAGAGATTTTTATTACTCTGGTTGCACTAAGGTAAAAAATATCAAACTACTTTGAATTTGAGGTACTTCGGCTAGGATGGAAAAGCCTTGTGCACTAGGGCGGAGCCAGGAATTAATAGGAGGGTGGACACTTAAACTAAAAGTTATATCTTTTTCCTTCCAACCGACTAGTGTAAAGGTTACAAAGTAGATTTTGAAAATTATATTTAATTCCTAAAACTTTGTAAACACAAATGGCAAAAAAGCGATATATATTGGGTGTAATAAAAAACAACAAAAAAAAATTTACAAAAAAAAAATAAATTTGAGACTAACTATGACCCTTTACAATTAACCTCTTTATAAAAAAGACACCGGAGGGCCGCAATTGCTAAGGAGTCGCACTTACCATCTTGGCATTGCCGCTTTTCCATTGTTTTCATATTCTGTCTCAAAGTGCTGGTTGGTTTGTGTGGTGATCTAAGAGGTATTTGTGATAAGATGAATAAATAAAGGGAGTTTCCATGGATCACTGGTGTGGGCACCACTAAGTATAGTTGGGGCATGGACTCATGGGTAGGCACCACCAGTGAGATGACTCATAAAACATCTATCACACATGTAGGTAATATATATAAATTTTTTCCCAGGGTGGGCCAGTGCCCCCCCTGGCCCATGACTGTCTCCGCCCATGCTTGTGCAGCGGGCTGCCTTTTGCCCATTGGTACTTGAGTTGGGGTCTCAGGTCTTCGAGACCCAACCTGAACCCATCCCATATTAGTGATTTGGGGCTCAACCCGTTTTCACTAAATTTCAACTGGAGATGTGTAATCCAATAATCAAACACAAATTGAACTCATATTGAATCCGAATTTTAACTCGAGTAATGTAAACCCAGTTCAGCCTGAGTACAAAATGCATGAGCATTACTCAAGTTGGGGGTTTTATAACTTGGATTGAGCCTGAATTAACCAGTCAATCTGCTCAATAGTGGCAACCCTGGTTCCCTGGGTTCAGAGAATCCTATCATCTATGGGGATTAAGAGTGTAATAGGAANCCTGAGTACAAAATGCATGAGCATTACTCAAGTTGGGGGTTTTATAACTTGGATTGAACCTGAATTAACCAGTCAATCTGCTCAATAGTGGCACCCCTGGTTCCCTGGGTTCGGAGAATCCTATCATCTATGGGGATTAAGAGTGTAATAGGAAGTGTATGCAGATGATTTGTTCTGTGCTTTTTCTTCTTTTGATTACTCTTGCCGTAGTATGCCATGTGCAGATTTTGATTATTTCTTTTACTTGGTACAATTTTCTTCCACAAATGGTTATTTATATCCTCCTATTTGTAAATGTTTTAATATTCTAGGTCAGGGGATTCATCTTTCATAAATATGGCTGCAGGTGCAAATGAAGAGGTGCAAATCTCTGATCAGCTTCTCTTTTTGAAGTAACTTCAATACTTTGTTGTACCTTATACTTTAACTATTTCTCAATTTAACTTCAGGCTAGTCATCGAGTAGGACATGATGAAAGGAAACCGCTTCTTCCCACCTAAAGTTACTTGGGAGTATGTTTCTGAAACTTACAATGTCATTGCCATCAATTTTACTATTCCTTCAACTATGTACTTCCCTAAAATTAACCCTTCGAAAGGTCATCTTTATTTTATGTACTTAAAAATTATACATACACTTTTTTCGTTATTTGTTTTGCCTTTACTTGACAATGGTTACTATGTTGTCTTGGCATTTAGGAATTTTAAGGTCAAAGGATCTGTTATATGACAGTTAATTTGAAGGAAAAAATGAATTTGCAAACAATAATAGGATGAGGGTCATAGCGGGTAAATGTTTTATGAATGGGCTTATAGAGTGTAATTTTGAGGCCAGTGCTGAAATTAACAAGTTAAATCATGGAATTATCTGGGACAAATATGTAAAGGGGTTGGACATAACTCTTGATCATATTCAAAAGGAGAAGTCTATAGAAAGGGGCACGACCTATTCAGTCGAGGCTGAAGGTGAAGAATGAGCTGCATATGCCGCTTGCTGATGGTGGTAACTCCCTCTCTATTATGTTTGCTACTTTTTTATTTCCTCTTCTAGTTTGTCGGTATTGTGGAAGGGTATGTTACTCCAGCAACACAGTGAAGTCGATGCTGGCATGGATGGCTAGATCAAGTAAAAGCACTTTATCAGGCTTCCAACCGTGTATGACCTAAGCTAGAACTTGTTGACCTAAGTCTTCTCAAGGAGGGAAACCTGAAAAAAGAACCTCCTATCTTCCTCTCCCTCAAGGCTAAGGGTCTCTTGGATAGGTCCCTCATGTGCTCTCTGTCACATCTGCCTCTTTGTCCCAAGTGATATCTCCTCAGATTGGGACTCCTTGAGGATTGTCATGGCTCGACTAATAGACGCATCCAGTGGCACTCTAAATCACCTTTGGTAGTGTGTCATCTAGATGAAAGCATTTTGTCTTGATTCCTTTTTCATCACGCATAATGATGTCAGCATCAATAACAATGCTAGCCTAGGTCAACAAAATTGATCTTTGTGCCGGCTTGAAGAGTGGGTGATGGAAAATGAAAAGGAATAGGATGAAGTTTGGAATTGAAGATTAGGGTTCTAAGAATTTATTTTAGTTTTATTTCTTACAAATAGGCCTATAATATTATGGGTTAAGACTTGATTATTGAATGAAATATTGATTTTTTCCAATCTTTTTAATTGGCAGTACTTGATTTTGTTAAGAGGGTTGACTTTGGTGTGGTGGTAAGGTTGGTGGTAAGTTTGCTCAATTGTACACTGGGCGGCAAAGGTTCGAGTTGCAGAAACAACCTATTTCCATGTGGGGCTACATATATCTGATCCTCAGACCTAGAAGTAGGGGGTTCTCATGCGTTGAGCCGTCCTTTTTAGTAATTAATCATGTTAACTACCTCCCCTTGAATTTTGCTTTCTTGTTTGGAACTTCTCCCTCTTGTTGATCTTTTATTTGTCTTGCGTCAATTGGTGTGAGACCAAATTTAAATTTTTCACCGTCATTTGCAAACCAATATCTTGAATTTGTGCTGTCATTACAATCCGCCTTTGCCTTAATTGGATAGTAGATCTGTAGTCACCATCATCGACACTAGTTCTTTCATCACCCAATGGTCAAAATTTTGTTTCGTGCATAGTTTCAGTCAGCTTATAAATGGCATCTTCCAAATGTTTTGAAAACATTGCAAAAAAAAAAAAAAAATTACAATTGTTTTTCTTAAATATTTGTTTCAACATACCGAAACACTTTGGAATATAAGAATTTCAATATTTGATCACTAATTCCTTTTGATTTTCTTGGAAACCGAAATATTTTTAGTTATTCCCATAGAAATAAAATGAAATTCCCATCCTTGCTTCTAAGCTTATATTCAAAATGATTGTCGGATACTGTTGATTGAATTTTTAATCATTGCTCAATTGCTCTCTACCAAACTTTCATTTTATGCTTCATTAATTTGAGGCCTCCGTAGTTTAACCAATTTTGACTGTTTATTAATTTTACATAGGCAATGGAGTACTTTTTCTCGAGTCATCTTGCATTCTCTTTGCTTTTATAATCATATAAAATAATTTGTTAATCAAGATATCCAACATCCAGTAAGTGCTTTCAAGTTTCAATAGGAATTTCATCATGTTCTAATTTCTTTTGACATTTTCATTTGCTTAACACATTCTTTACGACAAAACCTGGTTTCTTCAATCACACCATGATTATAATAGACTTCAAAGTTTAAGTGATGGCGTAGCCATAGAATGGTTTGAACAGTATGATCGAATCTAGAAGCCTAGGTGAAAGGCTAAGAGTTTTTGATTCAAAGAGAAATGTACTTAATAAATTTTTTAGGATTTTTATTTGTTATTTTTATTATTTATTAATGGAAGGTTTTGATCCATTTATTTCGGGAGGAATAGCCTCTCATCATATTGCAGCAAGGACCTTGGGCATATTAGCTGTATTCCATCTTAGTGTCCGCCCGCGCCAACGTCTATACAAAGGATTGCGTATGAGCAATATTAAAATCGTTAGTATTTATTTGATTGAAATTAGTAGGGATAAGTTAATAGAGTTTTTATAATAGAGTAGTTCATTTATGATAGGACACTTGGTCTATAAATAAGGATGTACTCTACATTATTTTAATTAGAGTTGAATATTAGTTTGAGATTCTCTGTGGAGGTTTGTGTTTCTTGACCTGATCCTTGCGAGGATTTGGTATCCGCTTTCTTTTGCTTCCCTCTCTACATAATTAAGATTCCTAGGTGATTTTCATTTATCTATTTTTCAAAGTAATTAGGAGGGCATATCAAACAAAAACTTGATTAGCGAAAACTGCATATGAAAGAAAAGAACAATTTTTTGCTTTTTTGCATCAAGACCTTTGGGTACTAACTTTTTATACTCAAAAATGATCTCTAGCATTGTTTTTCATTAAGTTGATTTAGCAAGTCTATATTCTGCATTCTTATTTTTAGCTTAGATTACCTACCATGATATAGTTATATCTTGCTTTTTAGTCGCTGGACTTCCCACTTTTTAAACTTTTTCATTCACAAGCTTATTTTTTTTTTTTTTTTGTAACCTTCCTCATTGTATATGCCATGCTTTATAATCTAATCTTTTTAGTTTGACAGGTATTTGGGCCTAATCATTTCACCACTATATTTAAGATAGTTAAAATTTCTTGATGCAAAACCAACTTGTCATTGATGACATGTATGCTAGGAACTAAATTTCATTGCGTGTGACACGTTGTTGCTTCCATGGAAACCGATGATTGGATATCAAAGTTCCAATGTTTCATGGTGTTTCAAGATGATGTTTCGTAAATAATTCTTGAATTTTTTTCTTTATTTTCATCCTGTGCTCGAAATGTTTTAAAAAAACTTTGGGACATTTTTGTTTTCAAATTAATTGAAACTATGCACCGAAATGAAATTTTGATCCTTGCATAATGTATAACCTTTCTACATATTTGAAAAACTAGGAAAATCTATTATAACTCAGTTTATATAGTTAATGGTTGATTACCTCTTTTTATTCTCAAGGAACGTCTTTTGATATTCTCTTAGCACATTCTACCATTTTATCCCACATTAATATAGTTTTTTCTTCTGTATTCTCCGGTTGTTTCTTTTAAGAAAAATAGGAACAAATTGAAGTTTTCCAAGTGCCGTCACTTGGATAAACTTCCCTGTACACTTAGTTGCACTGGATGTTAAGTCAATTTCCCTTTCTCGTGCTTTATTTACGTTGGCCATTGTATCTTCAAATCATTGAAGGTGCATGGTCAAAAAAAATTAATGATAGCAGAGTTTGAGGTGTTAATAGTATCTTCTTTAATGGGATCTCTCTTTGTTTTTCCTTTCTTTTTCACATGTGCTTGTCAGATGATACCTCCAATGCCACATTTGCTTTAGTACACTCAATCTGCTGGTGGCAATCTAATTATATCCCTCCTTTTTGATCATCAATCCAATGGACACACCTTTAGGGATTGCTACTCTATTCACAACGCTGACCAAAGGAGATTGGATCGTCACTAAATGATGTGGTTGACTTGTAACGAGAAAAAAAAATTCAGATGGAAAGAATATAATCTATATTATGATCCATATTTGTTGCAGCATTATCCCTTGTTTCATTCAACAATATGTGCCATGCATTCTTTGAATGTCTTTCCGAAATGAGTACCGTGCTCTCCTCTATAGTTATGTGACATTAGATAGATGTTCTTAGCTCTCTTTTCACCATCTTATGTATACTTCTGGCCATCTAATATCAGAAATTTGTTGCAGGTTCTTTTTGAAGGGGATTTTTATGCTGGATTTACTGGCAGTATAGGACACAAGCCAATTCAGAAAATTTCTGAACAAAATAAAACAAAGAAGAATTTCTTTTTTACTCAGGGGGGTCCTTTTTATTCCCATTTTTTTTCCTGGTGCACAGTGCCTTCCTCGAACAAGTTTGGTGTATAGACTGGTGATCTGGATTACTGCTGGTGGAAGCAGTTTAGCAAGAAAGAAAATAGCAACATGGTTTGTTTTGAGTTCCCCGCAGCCTACATACCTTGAACACACGGATGCTGTGTGTTATTTGTATTCTTTACCTGATACCGTTATAGATAGGTTTGCTCGTTTCTTCTTTCCTTTTCCTGATACATCATTTGTTACCACAAATATGCAATGAATTTAAGAGGCAAAGATCTAAGTGCAAAGTTTTGTTCAGGATACGATTCTATCGCACGGAAACTTTCTGGATGACACAATAATATTGATCCTTTCTTTTTTGAGCAAAAAAACTTTGATCTGTTGTAAGATTAGCTGTAAAGGTTTCTCAGAAATATGTTGAGATACCATAAAAAATAATTGTGGTATGTTGTGTGATTCTTTTGTTATTCAACATTTTCCCTTTCCCCTAGATTGAAATCTGATTTAACAAGTCTTTTGAGAAAAAAAAGGTTGTTGGGTTTGAAGTTGGTACATTTGCCAACCTTCCACCTACTCTTCCGCT